TATATATTGATAATCTTTTTCAGTAAATTAAAAAACCTAATACAGACTTGTTATGTTCTTGTGGTTTCATAATAGCAAAGACAGTGAAACACTGAAGAGTTGAACAGTATCAACTTGTACTTGCAGGCTCATGCCGATGACTTGTTTTGATGTTAGAGAGATGTAGTAATGTGTAAAAGTCTTGAGCCAACCTCATTTCTTTGTTTCACTAGTAGAAAGTATTTGCAGTGATTTATTGAAACATGTAAACATACATGGAAGTACAGTTTATAAGGCAAAAACAGAGTTTGTACAATTCTAATGAGCTTAACAGTCAATGACCATCTTTATTCATCAACGCAGTCTGAGTTCTCATATTTTACCTTATCTGTAATTTCTTTAAGTAGTCTTCAGGAATATTTCTCCACTCTTCTTGAAGGACATTCAAAGCTCCTCTTTGGAAGCCGGCTACCTTTTGTTCTGCTCTCAGACAAGATGATCCTATGCTACTTCAAAAATGTTAAGGTCACCTTTTAATAATCAAGTAAATCATAACAGTATATTCCATGTACTGCTAAATTTTCCAAGGAGTTGACCAATCAAATAATCTACTAGTCACTTCAGCTCTATAGAAAAGTGTGTTTGCTCTAAGGTAAGTGATCAAATGAACTCACAGGAGTGTGTGAAGCAGACTTTTTCAGTATAGTCCATGTTATAGTTTATAGCTCAAACACATGGATCCTTGAAGCTTAATCAAGCTGTTGACTTTTTAATTATTTGTTCAGCATACCCTGATAGCCCTAACCCTAACTTTTTTCCTATATTATTACCAACTGTACCCACTTTGTGGTTTACCCATGCACCTCAGCACCACCCACAGTATGAACCAATGCAAGCCTAACACCTCCCAGCGGATTTCTCCCTCCCACTCCCAACCACACATCACTGTATGGCTTCTGTCCGCCCCACTTTCCCCTCCTTTCTATTTGTGCATGCATATATTTGTCACAGTCTCACACTCTATGCATGTGGGCATGGATATTTCTGAAATCACCTGCCCTATCCGGCCGTGTGTTTTGAACAGCCACGAACTCTTTCTGGGTCTTGTAATTTTCCATTCTAACCAGCTGATACCAGGAGAGGTCATGTTCTGAAGCCAGCTTGGCTTGTGTTAAGCCATTTTGGATCCGTCACTTTCATCTGAGCTGACATTTAGTGTTCAGTGTGGAGGTGATTCAGCTGAATGCTTTTTTCCCCCCTGAAATGCACACCATGACCCTGGTGTTTACATTAAATGAAAGAGAATTGAGGTGATGCAACAAAGTTTTTTATCTGGATAATTTCATAATAAGAAAGAGCACAGTAAGTAACACACATCCATTATTTATGCATTCTATATGCATTTAAACCTGCCATTATGTCAGTCTTGCTAATGAATTGCTAACACCTGGGTGTACTGATGAAGCATTTTGAAAGGTCAGTCACAGTTGGCCTTCACCTCAGTGCTAAATATGCCATTTGAATGACTTTAACGTAAAAGAGCATCAGTAGGAAATTCAGTGTCTGCATTAGCATTTCTTTATACATCTGACGTAGTGATGGGAGAATGACGAGTTAGAGTAAAGATAATGCCTTAATGTTGGATTACGTAATGCATTGTCTCACTGCTGTGTTTTCACACTGATAAGGAGTAGTGATATAACCTTTGACAACATGACAACATAACAACATAACAGCAAGTGCTTTTCCTCTTTGTTGTCCCTGATAAATTTGTGATAAAGGTTCTTCCTAGCATAATTAAATTCTTTCCTTACATAATTTTGTGCACAGAGTAGTCTGTTGCCACACATATTTGCTCAGCATAACTACAATGACTTTGTGCAGACTTACACGTCAGGATGAAGCTTCAACTGATAATCGGTTTAGTTCATCATATTACTTCTTCTCTTTATAACAAGACAGAAAAGCCTCCGCTGGACGGCAGCGAGGGCAGAACCTGGATGGAAGAAGGCCAGTCCCAAACTCAGCTCACAGCTGTGGATGGTCCCGATGAAGCTGCGACAGACGACGGAGACCGTCCAGCATGGGATTCTAAGATTCAGTATGTGTTAGCCCAGGTGGGCTTCAGTGTGGGCTTAGGGAATGTGTGGAGATTTCCATACCTCTGCCATCAAAATGGAGGCGGTGAGTGTTAAGACAAGATTAACTTACAGGTTTAAGTTGTTAACTTAGTAGCTGTTTTGGTGCCAAAGCAATGCAACATGGAGAACACAAAATTGGTCCAAAAACCTCTCATGTTCAGCTGGTTTTTGTAAAAATATAACAATGTTAGCCTTTTCTGCAGCTATGGGGCATATATGGTATCACTCTTGGCTGGAAGCAGTGCTTAAACAATGACACAAACTTTGTCCTAAACCTCTCATGTTTAACTGTTTTCCACTTTTTCTTTGGTCATTTTAGCCTTTTTGGCCAGGGTGAAGGGAGTACCTGCCATCAAACAAGAAGACAGCCGCATGTAGCTATGATGGTGTTACATGCATTAATGTAATAACGTGGTTAGCCTACTCAACGTAAATTACACACAAACAACATTAAGCGACTCACTCAGAGAAGAACGGCTGCTGCTGCATCATCATCCGTCATCATTTCTGCTACACTGGCAGGGCTAGGGGCCAGGACTCTCCTCTTCGTGTTTTTGGGGGATGTTGTATAACAGGCAACGCACCCGCAGTAGATGTGCACGGTGTGAGGTCTCGCAGCAAGCTATCAAATACGGCACATTTCTGGGCTTTTAAAAAAACACGCTATGCGTCGCCAGGTGTTTCATCGGATTTGAGGTGTTTCCTCCTTTGACAGTATCACAGTATCAGCTTAAAGCACTTGTTGCTGCTGAGTTTGCATCTTTTGCTGTGAAGTACAGCCAGACTTTTGACCGCTTCGCCTTGGACATTTTAATCTGTAGCTCTGCTCTAAAAGAACGTACGTACCTGGGCCCGCCTACTATCCTCGGAAACGTAAAATGATTGGCTAGAAGTGTATCACAGCTCAGGAAAAAAAAGCACCGAAATAAAGCACCGAAATGTGCGCTGCTTTTCGGTCTGGTTACTACCGTTTATGTCAGAACCGGACACCGGTACCCATCCCTAATTAGCACAGTAATATATTAGTAACAATATGATATCCTGATAGTAATAAAATGGTAAAATCCTCCCTTGAATTTTCATATGCATAACATAACTGTTAATTTTATTACAATACTGGAAAGTAAACAGTTTATATATAGCAATAGAGGCTGAATGATGATCTAATTTCAAACCATAATTTACAAAGGATTGTTTTAAATGACCATACTTTAACATCCTGACCACATGGTAGTTCACCTCAGCTGTTTATACTAATAAAAATGACTTTAAAATGAATTTGAGTTTATATTAATTTTAATATATGTGCGGCTGATGTGTGGACTTTGTGTTAATATTGACTCACTCAAGCTGTCTTAAGCTCCAAAACATGGGCTGGTGCCCTGACACATATTAAATTCATTGCTCTGTCAGTGATTACAAGGCATTCAACACCTGAAGTATCAAAGCAGCCCAAACCATGATGCTCCCTCCACTGTGCTTCAAAGTTGAGATGAGGATCAGTGCCAGTTTTCAGTGCTCTTTACCTCCAAACAGGGCAAAATATTTAAACTTTTGGTTTATCTATCTACACAACGTTGTCCCAGCAGTGCTGTAGTATACAGCTTTATGCATCATTATACTGCTTTTTTGTATTTTTGATTTCTGAGATCCTGCGAATGTCACTGTGTGAAACTGACTTTTCTTTCTGGAGAAGAGTAGAACTCTAAACCATGTTTTATTTCTAGCTTTACAACACATGCATGCAGCATGTTTGGTTAGAACATGAGACTCCAAGCATCTTTTAGAGAGGTTGCTGACATATAAATTTGCTTATTTTTTCCAGCTTCAATGGCAAATTATGAGTTTGTGTTTTAAAAAAAAGCTAAAAACTGTTGTTTTTTAATGTGCTTACCGGTAGTTAGACTGTGTTTGCCTGTAACATGTGCAAATGTAAAGTTTTTTTTCACTCTGGAACTACAGGTGACTTTGGGTTTGCCTTTAAAATATATGTCCTCCTTTGTTCCTTCCAGGCGCCTTCATGCTGCTGTATGTTTTTCTTTTGGTGGTTGTGGGAGTTCCACTGTTTTTTATGGAGCTGGCTGCTGGTCAAAGCATTCGACAGGGCAGCATTGGTGTATGGAAGCACATCTCTCCAAAGCTGGGAGGGATCGGCTACTCCAGCTGCATGGTGAGCATTTTCTTTTTTTTTCTGTCTGAGACCTTTTTCTGTTTACGTTCATGTACCTGTGTGTTCTGATAAGGCTGCTGTTGTTTGACAGCTGACTTGCTTTTTCCAAGTCTGGGTTTCAAAAGTAGCACCGGGGTCAGTATTTTTAATCTCTTCACCTTCACTTATCTGGCCCCAATCCTGCATCACGTGTCACCGCCTTTATCACCTTTCTGTAAACACCTTAGCCAAGCAGCATGTGTGTGTATATACTCACGCACACCCATGCTGTAACATGAGAAAGGTAGTGTGCTGTGCGTCTGTGCTGGCAGTTGATTGCGTAACAAGTTGGGGAAAACACAGAGTACCCAAGAACGTTTTTGTCCGCACACACAACAGAAATCTACGACTAGATAACCTGTGGTTTTTATAAAGCGTGTTTATTTTTCTTTAAATAGACCTAACCTCTGTTTGTCATTGTTAAGGTCAATGTCGAACCTTGTGGCTACATTCCCTGGGTTAGCCTTTACTTGTAGGCTACAAGTATAAGAAATCACAGCATTACACTGAAGCTGCAAACAATTTGCAGCATATTTTAATAATATGATTAATAATACTGATTGTTTATTGATATAAATGCTTTCTTCTTCCCCAGGTCTGTTTTTATGTGGCTTTGTACTATAACGTTATCATTGCATGGAGCCTGTTCTACATGGGTAACTCCTTTCAGTATCCTCTGCCATGGGAGAAGTGTCCAACGAATGTAACCTCCAATGACACAGGTAATCACATGACCGAGTGAAATGAAGTGATGTCTGATGAAGCCTACAGTGTTTTCTTTTCTCAATCAACAGTGAAAGAATGCGCAGCCAGCTCCCCAACGTCGTATTTCTGGTTTCGGAAAGCTCTCAACATCACAAATTCCATTGAAGAATCTGGAGAGTTTAACCCCATCATGACAGGCTGTTTATTGGCTGCTTGGGCAATTGTTGCCTTGGCAATGATAAAGGGCATCAA